GTGAAACAGATCACCAGCCCAGGTGGGATGCATGAGACAAGTGCTCAGGCCTGGTGCACTGGGAAGACCCAGAGGAATCGGGTGGAGAGGGAGGTGGGAGGGGGGATCGGGATGGGGAATACATGTAACTCCATGGCTGATTCATGTCAATGTATGACAAAACCCACTGCAATGTTGTGAAGTAATTAGCCTCCAACTAATAAAAATAAATGGAAAAAAAAAACCACTACAAAAAAAAAGTGCTATATTAGTATCAGTAGATTTCAGGAAAAGGAACAGTATCAGAAAGAGACATTTACTAATGATAAAAATGTCAATTCAACAAGAAGGCTTAACAGTCTTATATGCAGCTAATAATAGAGCTTCAACATACATGAACCAAAAACTGGTGGGACTACAGAGACGATTAGACAAATACATGATAAAAGTGGGAGATTGCAGTACTTGTCTCAGCAACTGTAGACGAAACCTCCAACCAGCTTGAGTAACCACATTTATATAACATAGCACTCTTTCCGGTGCTAATTCACTAAGATAGGCCATGTGCTGGGTCAGGAGACAAGTGTCAAGAAAATCAAAAGGATTGAAACTGTACAGAGTGTACTGTGACTGCTGTGGAGTTAAGTTAGAAATCAGTAATAAAAAGTCTTAGAAAATCCCAAATATATGGAAAGGAAACAATATACTTCTAAATCCTCTACAGTCAGGCTTTCCTAGTGGTTCAGTGGTTAAGAATCCACCTTGTAATGCAGGGGACATGGGTTTGATCCCTGGTCCGGGAAGATCCCACATGCTACTGGGCAACTAAGCTCGAGTGCCACAACTCCTGAAGTCTGTGCACCCAGAGCCGGCGCTCTAGAGAAGCCACCTCGGTGAGAAGCCCACACACTGCAGTGAAGAGAGTAGCCCCCAAATAGAGAGCTCTTGTGTAGCATCAAAGACCCATCACAGCCAAAAATAAAGACATAAAAAATAAATCATCTGTAATAAAAAATAAAACACAAGGGGAATTAGAAAGTGTTTCAAACTGAACAAAAATAAAAACATAACGTCAAAATTTGTGGGTTGTCACTAACGCAGTGTTTAGAGAAATATTTACAGGCTTACGTATTAGTGCTGAAAATTAGGCTTCCACCTTAAGAATCTTAAAACCAAAGTAAGTAGAAGGAAGGGAATACGGGACCAAAGAGTAGATGTCAGATGCTGCAGAATACATGCAAGAAGATCAATGAAACCAAGAAGTGATGCTTTGAGAAAAGTGAACAGGCCTCTAGTCTGACCAAATTAAGAACCCATATTGGGACTACAAATGGTACATCAGTACAGATCCTGCAGAAGTCAGCCTGCACCCTCCTCCCCGGCTCACATCAGTCCCAACACTCTGCTTGCTGTACGTGCTCCTGCAAAACCCACTGGCACTGTTTCTGCACTTTTACATTTGGCTTTTCTGCCTTGGCTGTACCTATTTGTGCTCAGAGGTGTGAGGCTTCAGAGAGCGTAGCAAGGAAATATGAACTGTGTGATGCCTGTATTCCACCATGTAGGTGTGGAATACACTGTGGAATACACTGTCCACAAATGATGTGGACAGCTTCCTCAGAAGCCACAACTGTTATCTATATGGGAATGAGAAGAAGTGGAAACATTAAGTGACTTTATTGATAGTTAAAAAATTATATCAGAAACTTTCCCAGAAGAAAACTCTAGGCTCTCATGGCTTTGCTGGTGAATTTATTAAACATTTAAGAGAGAAATAGCAATCTAACAGCATACAGAAAAGAGAGGAGGGAACTCTTTGCAACTCATTGTATAAGATCAATACGACCTTGATAGTAAACAGGACATCACAAAAAAAGATACAGATCAATTTCCCTCATGAATATAGAAAATACTTAAAATATTAGCAAGCTGAATGTGATGTGTTAGACGGGAACTGCATCATGACCAGGAAACTGGCAGGATGTCTCCAGGTCCGTGGCTGAGAGGGTTTTCTTGGGGTGGGAAAGAAAATGGCATTTTAAATGTGAGGGGGGGTGCCAGCAGAGTGGAGCTACTCGTGCCCCCCTGCCTAATTCTCGAGTCTGTAGGGCACTGCCTCCAGCCTTCCTCAATGGGCGCCGTCCATGTTTCCACTGTCCCATCTGCTCTGTCTCAGGATGTGAGAGGGACAGTTGGGATTTAGTATCATTTCTCTGCAAGCCCTACCCAGGGCTCTGTCTTCCTGTGGTGACCTTGCACTAAGTTATTAGTCTGGGGGGAGTTGAAGGTGTGTTCTGCTGGAGGGTCCTCCCACCCCACCCCAGCCCTCGCTGCCAGGGGGAGCCCTAGATGTCAGCAGGAGGGGAGAGAGGACTCGATGCTCCTGTTGGGGCTCATGTCCTCAGGAGGAGCAGGCCTGTCTGCTGCCCGTGGGGCCAGGAAACTACTGACTTGGTGTACTTCCCAGGTAGATAGTTGGGGGCGGGCCTTACGGAGGTCGAGGTCACACTGCTTGAGGACTGGAACTTGGGCAGGACTCTGTGTGGGGTTGTCCAGACGGCCCTGCCCTGGCTGGGGGTCCTCAGGTCCGATACTGGCCAGTGTCCCAGATGCTCAGTGCTGGCATTCAGTGTGGGGATGCAGACGGGCTGCCAGGACCCTGAGGACCAGGGGAGTGCAGTCAGCAGGTGTCCTCCGACTGCCAGCCTCTGAGAGCCCGCCAGAGCTCCATGGGCTGTGGGGGCAGTTGACGGGCACTCCCAGGCCTGTCTCCCTTGTGCCCATGGCCTCCTCTTCCTCAGGCGTGCATCCTGGGGCTACGTCATCCACGTCTGCAGGTTAGACAGCCCCAGCTCCAGGCCGGCCTGCCTGCCTCCAGGACCCTGCAGGTGACCTGCAGTTGAGGGGCCGGGGGCAGGGGAAGGGGATCCTTGAGTCACTCAATGAAGGCGGAGCTCCCCTCCCCCAGGCCTGTGGATACTCCTGCAGCCCAGATTTCTGGCTGTTCGGAACCTGCTGGAACATTCTGGCCTTGGCCTCGGGCCTGTGCTGTTCCCTTGCTAGGAAGCCCACCCCGTGAGGCGCCCCATCCCCAACCTCCTGTCCCCGCCCCTCTGCTCACCGTGGCCGAGACACTGCCGCTTTAAGGGCGACATCACAAGGCTGCGGAAGGCCGGTGGAACTTGGGGTTCTTGGCGTTTCTGGAGTGCCCGTGGGCTCTGATTTTCCATCTCCATGGGGCCGCGGGCCCACACGTGACAGAGGACTGGCCATGGCTGAGGGCAGCGAGCTGATGAACAGGCTCATGAGCGAGAATGCTGACCTCAAGAAGCAGGTGCGTCTCATGAAGGAGAACCAGATGCTGAAGCGACTGCTGAGCGAGAGCTGCCAGGAGAGCTGTGGGCGCGGGGGCCGTGACTTTCTCTTCCCCAAGGCGCCCGCCTACCCTGAAGCCTGCTCCCCGGGGAGCACAGGTGAGCTGGGGCTGGAAGGTGGGTGGGCAGGTGGGTGACCCACTTGGGCTAGTGGGGCTCTGTCCATGGTGGCCGCCGAGGTGCGGCCACAGAGGCTTAAAGCAGGTCCACTGAGGCCAGCCCAGGGGACGGTGGGGCCAGGCTGTGTGCAACTCTGCTCTCCTGGGGGCTGGCCAGCCGGGCATGCCCAGCCCTCGGCCAGGGCAGCTGTGCCCACCATAACTGGCCAACGGCTGTGCCCGGAGAGGGAAGGACCCTGCCTAGGAGAGAGACCTGTGGGTCACAGACAGGAAGTAAGCGTGGAGCGGTCACCCAGCTCGCCCCATGGGAGCCCCATCAGAGGCCGAGACACTTTCTATGAAGGTAGCTGGCTCTGCTTGAAAGTTTTTGTATGTAGGAAGTGTGACTTAGGGTGTAGTTGGCGCTGTGACCTTGGTCTGAGTGGCTGGGATGTGGACCATGGGCCCTGTGACCAGGTGAGCTCCGTGTTCCCGGAAGTGATGATCACTCACTGCCCAGCAGGGCGGGTGGAGTCCACACCCTAGCCCTTGCCCTGGCATTGCCCATGCCCACCCCTGGCAATGCCCGTGCCCACAGACCAGCTGTCTTCTCAGGATAAGTTGTGCACCTGGAGTGAGATGTTTTCCTCTGTTGAAGCTTCTTTCAGAGCTACTGCTGGTTCCCAGTGGGATGCTCGGCTGCTCTGGGACCCGCTCTGGATGTGGTCACCTCCTGAATGTTGGGTGTGGTCACCTCCTGCCCTGAGCAAGCAGACCCTGTGAGCAAGCATGTCCCGGTGTGCGAGGGTCCCTCATGGCATCTCCATACCTTCAGCCTCAGGGTGGGCCTTGAGGAGGGAGCTCAGCCAAGCAGGGTCCTCATGGGGGGGGCAGTACGGCGGGTAGAGGGGGAGCAGCTGGAGAAGCCTGGGGCCCTGTCTTCAGCTCTGCCCGTGGCCAAGACACACAATGTCCCCGGGTGACCGTGGGTAGAGGGGCGCCTGTCTCTCGGTGCTGTGTCCCTGACATGATGCCCCGCAGAGGGTCTGTGCCACCTCTTCAGCCTACGAGGAATGCCTGCTAGGCAGTGGCTGCCTGAGACACTTGTCCCCAAGGCCTTGTCTGCGCTGTGACCACTGCCAACAATCATGTGCTTCGGTCTGCTCTGTGGCCATTTGTCCTAAGAATTGAGCTTTGCTGAAACACAAGCTGGAATCAAGATTGCTGGGAGAAATACCAATAACCTCAGATATGCAGATGACACCACCCTTATGGCAGAAAGTGAAGAAGAACTAAAGAGCCTCTTGATGAAAGTGAAAGAGGAGAGTGAAAAAATTGGCTTAGAACTCAACATTCAGAAAACTAAGATCATGGCATCTGGTCCCATCACTTCATGGCAAATAGGTGGGGAAACAGTGCAAAAGTGGCAGATTTTATTTTTGAGGGCTCCAAAATCACTGCAGATGGTGATTGCAGCCATGAAATTAAAAGACGCTTACTTCTTGGAAGAAACCTATGACCAACCTAGATAGCATATTAAAAAGCAGAGACATTACTTTGCCACCAAAGGTCCATCTAGTCAAAGCTATGGTTTTTTTAGTAATCATGTATGGATGTGAGAGTTGGACTATAAAGAAAGCTGAGTGCCAAAGAATTGATGCTTTTGAACTATGGTGTTGGAGAAGACCCTTGAGAGTCCCTTGGACTGCAAGGAGATCCAACCGGTCCATCCTAAAGGAAATCAGTCCTGAATATTCATTGGAAGGACTGGTGCTAAAGCTGAAGCTCCAATACTTTGGCCACCTAATGTGAAGAACTGACTCATTTGAAAAGACCCTGATGCTGGGAAAGGTTGAAGGTGGGAGAAGAAGGGGATGACAAAGGATGAGATAGTTGGATGGCATCACTGACTCAATGGACATGAGTTTGAGTAAACTCTGGGAGTTGGTGATGGACAGGGAGGCCTGGCGTGCTGCAGTCCATGGGGTCGCAAGGAGCTGGACAGGACTGAGCGACTGAACTGAACCTTCAGGGCACAGAGCTGTCTGTGTGATTGGCGGACTGGCCAGGCTGGAAGGTGGGCTTCAGGTGAGGTGCAGGCCTTTGCTCAGGCTGCGCTGATCCCCATCAGGGTACAGTCAGGCTGTTTCTGGGGGCATGGCCAGCATCCCACCCATGGGCAAGCTCAGATCCTCCTGGATGCCCAGGAGGAGCCCCAGCCCCTGGCCAGCCCGAGGCCTCAAGCCTTCCAAAGAAAGGCCTTGGAGCCCCTGTTGCAGGGTGTGGGCTGATGGGCCCCCGCCATCCTCAGAGCCACCTCTGTCCCCAGAGTGCAACCTTGGCCTTGGGGCTGGACTTGGAGAATCGGTAGGAGTTCCGCAGCGGAGCTCGAGATTTCAGACGGACGGGAACTGCACACAGCAGCGGCTCAGGGTTTGCTTTAGAAACCGGATGTGGTTTATTTATTTATTTATTTTGGCTGCAGGCTTCTCGTTGCAGTGGCTTTTGTTGTTGTGGCGCACAGGGTCTGGGTGCACGGGCTCAGCGACCCTTGGGCTCTAGAGCACAGGCTTCAGTAGCTGTGGTGCACGGGCGTAGTTGCTCTGCAGTGTGTGGGATCTTTCCGGACCAGGGATGGAACTTCTGTCCCTGCATTGGCCCTCGGATTCTTTACCACCAAGCCACCAGGGAAGTTGCACAGGATGAGCTTTAAAAATGTATTGTCCTCACTAAGCAAGATCACTTGGGGTGAGCGTGACTACTGCAGGCTCCTGGCCCCACTCCCAGCGGCAGCCGCTGTCCACGTCGACTCTGGCTTCTCTCTGAAGTTTTGGTAGCTGTTTGCGTGTGTATCCCAGGATCCTCAGTTTATACGGCCAGGGTGGAGCCATTCTGCACTGACTCCCCAGCCGTCCATCTTCCATCCTTGACCATCGGCCATCTCCTGGAGGGCTTGCTCACTGTTCCCTGCGGGTTCACCACCAGCCCTTAAGTCTGGTCCCCATGACAGGAGTGCTCCTCCATCTTCCAGCAGCCACGGGGGCTTCACAGGAACCCCTGTGGCCTGCTGATGAGGGGCTGTCCAGGAATCCTTGGGTCAAAGGCCACGTGCAGCTCAAGTGCTGACATGGACCCTGGGACCCTCTCCAAAGGGCTGCGGCCTCTCCACCTGCACCTTTCCCACAGCTGGTGTCACCGTGGGAGGGAGCCAAGCCCCGCCAGCATCTTCTGAGGCCACATGTTCTGAGGGACAGGGTGGGGTGGGGGGCCTTGGCCGTCCCAGGCCCTCCCCTCCCAGGCCAGTTTCCTTTGGATCACCCTGGTGCCTGAGCCCCTGGCGTCTCGGAGCCTCCACTGTTGCCTGGACTCCTTCTCCTGCGTGGAGTGTCCAGAGATTTAAAGTAGTTTCTGAGTGTTCTCTTTGCCTCTTCCCTTTACCATCACGATACAGCTGCTTTTGTATTGTTATAAATACATTCTAAATAGCTGTGTAATATTCCAGAATCAGATGAACCAGAATTTAATGAATTCTCCTTATGTTTGAAATGACAGTTCTTTTCTCTTACCCTGAAGTTAGTGTTAGTTGCTCAGTTGCGTCTGACTCTTGTGACCCCTTGGACCATAACCTGCAAGGCTCCTCTCTCCATGGAATTCTCCAGGCAAGAATACTGGAGTGGGTTGTCATTTCCTTCTCCAACCCTGAAGTAAATACCACAGCAAAAGCATTTTATATTCAGAGTTATTTTCTTAGGGTATGTTTCCCTAAAGGTAGAATCACTGGCTCGGAAGGCAGGGTAATTATTTTCACGTCTCTTTTTCTTATATTTGCCCGGAGGGTGAGAGCATCCCCTGCAGCTCTATTAAGCTGCTCTGACTCTGTTTCTTTAAGTCTCTTTAGCCATTTCTCACATAAATCTTTCACATTAATTGGCTTATTCCTGGAGCACTTTATGTTACTTATTGCAATCATGGATGGGATTTCTTTTTCCACTGTGTTTTCAGTTATCTGCGTTGCTGTGTTTTGGAAATCTGTTGATTTGTAAATATTTAGCCTATATCCAGGCCCCTTATCATAGTTTGCTTACTTTATATTTTTATTTTTACTTTTGGCCACCAGGCATGCTGGTTCTTAGTTTCCTGACCAGGGGTTGAACCCAGGCCCTGGGCAGTGAGAGCGTGGAGCCCTAACCACTAGACCACCAGGGAATTCACTATCCAGTCCCTCCCTGAGCTATTTTTGTTCTGCTAAGTTTTCCAGTTCTTTTTTCCATGTTTTCTGAGTTCTGTAGCTGCTGTTTACAGACTTTTACATGGGGTTGGCAGCTCAGATGGGCTTCCCTGGTGGCTCCGTGGTAAAGAATCCACCTGCCAAGCAGGAGACAAGGGCTCAATCCCTGGTTCAGGAAGATCCCCTGGAGAAGGGAATGGCAACCCACTCCAATATTCTTGCCTGGAGAATTCCCACGGACAGAGGAGCCTGGCGGGCTACAGCCCATGGGGTCGCAAAGAGTTGGACACATCTTAGCAACGGAACAACGGTAGCTCGTACACTCGTTTCTGTCTGTCTTCCTCAGGAATCCCAGGACTTTTGGCCTTGACAGGCTCCCCACTCATCCTTCTGGTGGGTGGTCGGCAGTGGACAGCCCTGTCTGTCCAGGTATCGGGGGTGGGGGTGTAGGCTGGGTGCTGGGGAAAAGCCTTCTAGTCCTTATTTTTAAAGAGCAACAACAACAACAAAATTGAAGAAGGGCTCATTTTGTTAAGATTTTGTGACCTCACTTCTGTAGTGGCCAAAGTGCCCTCGGCTGCGTCCCCACTGGCCTGTGGGGTCTTGTTCCGCTGTGTTGTTGAGAGACTCCTGGTTCTGGGTCTGAGCTGTTTGCTGTGGCATCTGTTTGGCTGGGGCTTCACTCAGGATCTCTGGACTCTGTTTTCTCTGATTCCTATGTGAATCTGGGCTGTGGTTTTCTTTCTGTGGGTTGTCTTTTCAGGGATTTGATATCAGAGTTGTGACAATTTATAAGCTTAATAATGAAGCATCATTTAATTTTTTCAGTGTTCTAGCCTCATTCATATGATGCAGGGGTTGTGAATTGTTTGGGGATGTGAAAGAACTCATCCACCAACCACCCAGGCCTTCAGCCCTTTGCCTATAATTCTATAACTTCTAGGTTTTTCTTTTTTGCTTATTCATCTGTGCAGGTTTTCTGCTTCTTATTGAGTCATTGAAAATAGCTTCCCAAATGATCTCTCCTTTATTAAAGTTTTCAATTAATATTCAATTGGATATTATCTTTTATAAATTTAAACATTATCTTTTATAAATTTAAACATTATCTTCCTGGTCATTCTTATCTGGCTTTTCTCATTTTCAATTTAATTCTTTTGTTTTCTGTTTCTCTAAAGTAGCTTTCCACAGTTTCACTATCTTATTGGACTTTTTGTAGAACTGTTTCAAGTTTATTTCTGCTGCCATTTTTATTATTCTCTAAACTTTGCTTTCTTCAAGAGTTCATTCCTATATGAATGTTTAATTTTTTGATGATGTTTTAGAAGTAATTAAAGGATTTAAGTTGCTAATTTCACTTTAGATACAGTTTTAAATGTATTGATGTCAATATACCTAGTGTTCTGATTTTCATTATTTCTCAATAATCATTTTTCCTATTTTTATTTTCTCCTTGATCTGATCATTACTGAAGATAATTTTTTTTCTAATATGTATATATTTTTTGGTCTTAGTTGTGGCACTTGGGCTTTCTAGTTGTGTGGTGGACTAAGTTGTTCTGCAGTATGTGAGATCTTAGTTCGCTGACTAGGGATTGAACCCACAACCCTTGCATTGCAAGGTGAGTTCTTAACCACTGGACTGCTGGGGAAGTCCTGAGAATGTTTTTAATTTTGAGGAGATGGGGTTTTCTATTGACTCTGATTCATTTATAGTTTTATTATAATGTGGCTTGAAGGTTTTGACTGAGGATTAAAAAAATTGTTTTATGTTTAACACAACTTTATTAGGGCTTGGGAATAACAGAAGGGAATTTCAATTCACTAAATAGAAACTAAAAGTGAAGTGCAAACACGCCTGACCACACAATAATCCCTTTAAAATTAGGTCACAGATATGGCTCTTCCCGAAGCCCACGAGTAGAGTTTTCCTGGCCCCTGCCCATGGCTGGGATGGCCCACCTCCCCTGGGAATATGTGAGTCCTGAGCAAAGGGGACCAGGCTCCTGGGACTGAGCTAGAGGAAGAACAAGCACCGGGGGCCTTTGCTGCCTCACCGCTGTGACTTCCTGACAGTTCCTGGACCATAAGTCTGGCAGGGGACACACATGAGGGATGCTGATCACTGCTCTGCTTTTACAAGGAATACTGGCAACAGTGCCATGTGCATCAGGGCGGGTGGATGAAAAAAATCCATGTGTGTGTGCATGTATGTGCAGATGTGTGCCCATGTATGCACGTGTGTCAGGAGATGGTTAAGTGAACCATAGAGCTACCCAATGATACACTCATCATGGATAAATCTCAAAAAGAGAAGTTTCATAATAAAAGGTGCTGGATGATACCACTTATGTAAAATTTAAGATGCACATATAAGTCACTGTCACAGTGTGTGGACACATTGTGTTGGAGGCCACACACATGATATGCCTCTGGACCTGGAGCTGCTGGTGTCCTGGGATCCATTGCCTCCTCCAGAGGGGAAGTGGGGACAGGTGTTAGAGCTGGGAGCAGGGTCTCTGTAAGACATGGGTGCTCCAGGAGCCTCCACCTCACAGCTTCTTCCTCCCTCCCTGCCCCAGTTCCAGACTTTGGAAGGTTCGCCAGCGGCCCTGATGCACCCTCCCAGCTGCAGTCCTCCCTGGAAGACCTGCTGTGCTCACACGCTCCCGTCTCCAGCGAGGATGATGCCTCCCCGGGCTGTGTGACGTCCTCACAGGTGCCCTTCAAGGCTTTCCTCAGCTCCCCGGAACTGCATGTCCCCCGAGGCTCTGACCGAAAGCTGTCCCCACTTCTGAGCCCCTTGCAGGACCCGCTAATGGAGAAGACCCTGTTGGAGACCCGGGATGTGGGCCGGCCCAAAAAGGTGTGCTTCTCAGAAAGCAGCCTGCCCTCCGGGGACCGAACCAGGAGGAGCTACTACCTGAATGGTGAGGAGGGTGAGGAGCAGGCAGGAGTGTGGGGTTGGCCGCTGGGGAGGGTGGTCAGGGCCCAGCTTCTGCATCCAGCCAGCAGCAGCAGGAGGAGAGTGTGCCCATGCTCCTGGGGTCTGGGGCCCTGTCTGTACACATCTTTTGACCATTTAAATAAGTGAGTAGCTTATCATCTTATGATTGAGTTGTGTATTCTGGATACCAGACTTTTTTGGTACATGTTTTGCAGACATGATCCATGAAAGGGGAGGGGGTGTCCTTCCTTCCTCCAGTGGATTACATTCTGTCAGAACTTTTCACTATGACCCACCCATCCTGGATGGCCCTGCAAGGCATGGCTCATAGCTTCATTAAGTTATGCAGGCCTCTTTGCCATGACAAGGCTGCAATTCTGCTTCATTGACTACACTAAAGCCTTTGACTGTGTGGATCACAATAAACTGTGGAAAATTCTGGAAAGTAAACTGTGGAGATGGGAATACCAGACCACCTTACCTGTCTCCTGAGAAACCTGTATGCAGGACAAGAAGCAACAGTTAGAACTGAACGTGGAACAACTGACTGGTTCAAAATTGGGAAAGGACAATGTCAAGGCTGTATATTGTCACCCTGCTTATTTAACTTATATGCAGAGTNTATTTGCCATCAAATAATGGGACTGGATGCCATGATCTTCATTGTTTGAATGTTGAATTTTAAGCCAGCTTTTTCACTCTCCTCTTTCACTTTCATGAAGAGGCTTTTTAGTTTCTCTTCACTTTCTGCCATAAGTGTGGTGTCATCTGCATATCTGAGGTTATTGATATTTCTCCCAGCAATCTTGATTCCAGCTTGTGCTTCATCCAGCCCAGCATTTCACATGATGTACTCTGCATATGATTTAAATAAGCAGGGTGACAATATACAGCCTGGATGTACTCCTTTTCCTATTTGGAACCAGTCCATTGTTCCATGTCTGGTTCTACATGCAGAGTACATCATATGAAATGCTGGGCAGGATAAATCACAAACTGGAATCAAGATTGCCGGGGGAAATATCTCCAGGAGTTTGCTCAAATTCTTGTCCATTGTGTTGGTGATGCTATCTAACCACCTCATATTGCCCCCTTTTCCTTTTGCCTTCAATCTTTCCTAGCATCAATGTCTTTTCCAGTGAGTCAGCTCCGTGCATCAGGTTACCGGAGTTTTGGAGCTTCAGTGTCAACATCAGTCCTTCCAGTGAATACTCAGGGTTGATTGCCTTTAGGATTGACTGGTTTGATCTCCTTGCCATCCAAGGGACTCTCAAGAGTCTTCTCCAGCACCACAGTTCAAAAGCATCAATTCTTGGGCTTTCAGCCTTCTTTATGGTCTAACTCTCACATCCATACGTGAATATTGGAAAAACCACAACTTTGATCATATGGACCTTTGTTGACAAAGTGATATCTCTGCTTTTTAATATGCTGTCTAGGTTTGTCATAGCTTTTCTTCCAAGGAGTAAGCTTCTTTTTGTTTTATGGCTCCAGTCAGTGTCTGCAGTGATTTTGGAGCCCAAGAAAAGAAAATCTGTCACTGCTTCCAATTTTTCCCTTCTATTTGCTATGCTCAAAATCCCTCAAGCTAGGCTTCAGCAGTATGTGAACCATGGACTTCTAGAGGTACAAGCTGGATTTAGAAAAGGCAGAGAAACCAGAGATCAAATTGCCAACATCTGTTGGATCATAGAAAAAGCAAGGGAATTCCAGAAAAACATCTACTTCTGCTTCATTGACTACAAAATTATCATCTTTGTTGTGGTGATCTTTGTTCAGTGGTCTTTCATGTTACTATTGTAATTGCTTTGGGACACCAAGGACTACGCCCATGCAAGACAGAAAACTTAATGCCTAAGTGTTGTGGGTGTTCTGACTGTTCCACTGACCAGCACTCCTCCATCCCTCTCCCTCTGCTGGGACCTCCCTTGTCTCTGAAACACAACAGTATTGAAATTAGGTCGGTTAATAACCCTCCAGTGGCCTCTTAAGTGTTCAAGTGAAAGGAAGAGTTACACATCTCTCACTTTAAATCAAAATGTAGAAATGATTAAGCTAAGTGAGGAAGGCATGTCAAAAGCCAAGGTGGGTTGAAAGCTGGGCCTGTTGTGCCAAACAGTCAAGCTGTGAATGCGAAGGAAAGTTCTTGAAGGAAATGAAAAGTGCTACAGTGAGCACACAAATGATAAGGAAGCACAACAGCTTCATTGCAGATACAAAGAAAGTTTTAGTGGTCTGGGTGGAATATCAAACCAGCCATACCATTCCCTTAAGGCAAGGCCTCCTCCAGAGCAAGACCCCAACCCTCTTCAGCTCTGTGCAGGCTGAGAGAGCTGCAGAAACTGCAGAAGAGAAGTTTGAAGCCAGCAGAGGTTGGTTCATGAGGTTTAATGAGAGAAGCCATTTTATAACATCAAAATGCAAAGCGAAGCATCAAGGGCTGGAGTAAAAGCTGCAGCAAGCTGTCCAGAAGATTCAGCTCAGATAATTCATGAGGGTGGCTGCACTGAAGGACAGATTTTCAATGTAGAGGAAACAGCTTTCTTTTGGAAGAAGATTCTATCTAGAACTTTATAGCCAGAGAGTAGAAGTAAGGGCCTGGCTTCAAAGCTTCAAAGGACAGGCTGATTCTCTTTTTAGGGGCTAATGCAGCTGGTGGCTTGAAGTTGAAGCCAGTGCTCATTTATCATCTAAAAGAATTATGCTACATCTACTCTGCGTGTGTTCTGTAAATGGACAACAAAGCCTGGATGACAGCATATCTATTTGCAAAATGGTTCACTGAATATTTTAAGCCCACTATTGAGACCTACTGCTCAGGAAAAAGATACCTTTCAAAATATTCCTGCTCATCGATGATGCACCTAGTCACCCAAGGTCTCTGATGCAGATGGACAAGGAGATTAAAGTTGTTTACATGCTGCTAAGGCACATCCATTCTGCCCATGTATCAAGGAGCATTTGACTTTCAAGTCTTATTACTGAAGAAATATACTTCATAGGGGCTTCCCTGGTGGCTCAGATGGTAAAGAATCTGCCTGCAATGTGGGATACCTGGGTTCCATCCCTGGGTTGGGAAGATGCCCTGGAGGGGGGCATGGCAACCCACTCCAGTATTCTTGCCTGGAGAATTCCATGGACAGAGGAGCCTGGCAGGCAACAGTCCATGGGGTCACAAAGAGCAGGACACGACTAAGCCATTGACCACAGCACAGCACAGCACACACTTCATAAGGCCATAGCTGCCATAGATAGCAGTTCCTCTGAGGGCTCTGAAACTTTCTGGAAAAGATTCACCATTCTAGGTGCCACTGAGATCATTCATGATTCACGGGAAGAGGTCAGATGATGGACATTAGCAGGAGTCTGGAAGAAGTTGATTCCAGCCCTCATGGATGACTTGAAGGGATTCACGACTGCACTGGAGGGTGTAGCTGCAGATGTGGCGGGAACGGCATGAGAACTGTAATTAGAAGTGAAGCCGGAGATATGACTGAACTGCTGCACTTACAGATAAAGCCTTCACACAGGAGGAGCTGCTTCCTATGTGTGAGCTAGGAAGGTGGTTTCTTGAGGTGGAATCTACTCCTGGTGAAGATGCTGAAACGACAACAAAGATTTAGAACAGTACGCAAACTTAGTTGAGAAAGCAGTGGCAGGGTTTGAGAGAGTTAACTTAAACTTTGAAAGAAGTTCTATTGTGGGTAAAATGCTCTGAAATAGCATTTCATGCTACAGAGAAATTATTCCTGAAAGGAAGAGTCAACCAATATGGCAAACATCATTGTTACCTTTTTAAAGAAATTGCCACATGAACCCCAACTTTCATCAACCACTGTCTGACCAGTCAGAATCTGTCAACACTGAGGCAGGACCCTCCACCAGCAAAAAGGTTATGTCTCACTGAAGGCTTAAAGGATGGTTAACATTTTTTAGCAATAAAGTATTTAAAAGTTAAGGCATGTACATTTTTTTAGACATAATGTTATTGCACACTATAGACTACACTGCAGTGTAAACCTAACTTTCATGTGCACTGAGAAACTGAACAATTCACGTGACTTGCTGTCTTTTTTTTCTTTTTTTTTTTTTTTTTTGGTTTTCCTTTTTTTTTTTTTTTTAAATTACACGACTTGCTTTCATGTGGTATTTGCTTTATTGTGGTGGTCTGGAACTGAAACCAGCAAAATGTCCAAGGTATGCCTGTATATCTCTCCATTTTTTTAGTTCTTTAAAAATACCTTTCAGTAATATTTTATAGCTTCTATGTGCAGATCTTGCACATTTTTGTTGAATTTACCCTTTAGTATTTCATGTTTTTGATGCTATAATGAATAGTACTTTTTATCAATATGCATTTCTGATTATTTCTTTCTAATATATAATACCACAATTGATTTTGTATATTTATCCCATGATGGTCAACTTGACTGGGCCATTAGGTGCCCAGATATTTGGTCAAACATTATTCAAGGTAGTCTATGAGAATGTTTTTAGATGAGTTTAATATTTAAGTCAATAGAATGAATAAAGCAGATGGGCCTCCTGAATGTGGGTAGGGCTCATACAATCAGTTGAGGGCCTGAGTAGGATAAAAAGGCTGACTGTCTCCCAAGTAAGAGAAAATTCCTCCTGCCTGACTGCCTTTGGATTGCAACTGAAATCTCAGCTCTTCTTGGGTCTCAAGCCTCCAGTTCTTTAAACTGGAGCCACACCATGGTTCCCTTGTTTCTCAGACCTTGAACTCAGACTGGGACTACATCATCAGCTCTTCTGAGCCTCCAGCTTGCTGACTCACCATTGTAGATCTTGGGATGTGTCAATTTTCATAATTGCGTGAGCCAATTCCTTTTAATAAACACACAGAGACACACACAGACACAGACACACACACACATATGGTTCTATCTGTAAAATCTATGGTGATACCATCTTTCATTTCTGATAGTGGTAATTTTTATCTTCCTCTTTTTCTGTAATTAATCTGGCTAGGGATTTATCAATCTTACTGACTTTTTTCTTTGAGGAATAGCTTTTTTGGTCAGATCTTCAAGGACCCAGGTTGGACTAGAAATGCTTTCTAGATCCTCTCAGATCTAGAGGTTGCTCATTCCTTCTACCTAATTTATACTTTAGAGGAGGGGAGGCAGGGAGAGGGACCGACTCCTGATGAGATAAATATATTACTACAGAAGGGGGAGATTGTTTTCTGCTCCTCCGTAGGCCCTGTTTTCCCTAACATGCTTCTGTGCAGTGTATCCAGTTCACAGTTATAATTCCTGGGTAGTTTCTGCAGTGTTGCCAAGTGATTTTGGAAAGAATGCACTGGAAACTAGGGCTTCCCAGATGGTTCAGTGGTAAAGAACCTGCCTGGCAATGTAAAAGACATGGGTTTGATCCCTGTGTCAGGAAGATTCCCTGGAGAAGGAAATGACAACCCACTCCAGTATTCTTGCCTGGGAAATCCCACGGACAGAGGAGCCTGGCAGGCTATGGTCTACGGAGTCACAAAGAGTTGGACATGACAGTGACTAAACAACATCACTGAAAACTACAAAGCATTGAAAGAAATGAAAGGAGACCTAAATAAATGTAAAAAGTCTTCTGGTCATGGCTTGAAAGACCTAATCTTATCAAGATGGCAAATCTCCCCAAATTAATCTACAAATTCCAATGCAATCCCTATCAAAGTCCCACCTGACTTCTTGGTAGAAATTGACATACTGATCCTAAAATTTGTATGGAGATGCATGGGACTCAGGATAAGCAAAACAGTCTTGAAAAAGGAGAATAAAGTTGGAGGACTCACACTTTCCAATTTCAAAATTTACTCTAAAGGTACAGTAATCAGCAGCGTGGTACTGGTGTAAGGACAGGCATACAAGTCCATGAAATAGAATCAAGAGTCAGAGATAAACCCATGCATTCCCAAGTCTGATGTCTGGCAAGGGTCCCAAGACAATTCGATGGAGAGAGAAGAGTCTTTTCAACAAATGGTGCCAGGAAAGTGGATCTCCACATGCAAACAGCTGAAGCTGGACTTCATATCACATAGGAAAATTAACTCAAAATGCATCAAAGATTTTTAAAAGAACTAAAAGAGCTAAAACCATAAAACTGTTAGAAGAAAACATAGACATAAACCTTATGACCTTGGATTTGGCCACAGAGTCTCAGCTGTGACAGACCTGGACCGGGCTAAGTTAAACCTCATCTTCCCTACTCAGCATGTGCATTGGCACGGCCGAGGGAGCAGGAGGACACGGGCCCCCTCGCCTATCCCAGTGCCCACAGAGGAGGAGGAGCTACCCACGCCTGGCCTTGATAAGCATGTGTTGACTGCCATCCTGTTCCTGCCCAGAGTGACTAGCCAGGGCTCTGGGATGGGTGGCTATGTGGGCAGTCCCAGGGTGGGGCTGAGAGACGGAGAGCAGCTGCCCTCGGTCACAGGCAGGGTTGGTCCTGCAGTCCAGTGCACACAGCCGCGTAAAGCCCTTGTGGAGGTCTCGGAGCAGCCCAGCGACTCCCCGGGCCGCTGAGCCCTCCAGCAGGGTGGGGAGTCAGACCAACCTCTGTGTGTGGTGGGGGTCCTAAGCCCTTGGCAGGCACAGGTATCTGTGGGTAACAGGACCTTGGGGCCAGCTCTCCAGCCCATCTGTGCACTGCCTGCCTGCTGGACGGACCTTGTGGGGCTTCACCATCCAACACTCTTGGGAGGGGTTTGGAGCACTGTTGGGTTAGAAAGTTGCAGGGCTTTAGAAAAAGCTTTAGAAATGAGCCTGTTATTAAGTGTCTCCTGTGGGGAAGAACAGAGTTCGGGAAGCATGGGAGCCTGTGCCGAGTGCCTGCTCTCCCCGCAGAGTGCATCCTGGTCACAGGGCACTCCAGGCGCCGTGAGGCGGGCCCTTCCTCACTCCACGGTCCCTCAAAGTTAGGTGCACCTGGTGGTAACAGTGTCAGCAAGATCTTAATTTTGAAGGGTAGTGGTAGGATCATGGCTGTCGGGTAGAAGACGTGCTGACATCAGAGGCTGCCATGGGGAGGGGCAACCTGGAAGCAATTTTGGAGGGGACAGTGGTTGATGTGCTGGGGTGATATTGGGGAAATAATTAGAATCTCCCGCGAACCCAGCAACTCTCATCTTATTATGAAATAAGCATTAGACCAGCCTGCAATACACACAGGCTGCTGAGACAGAGCGTCTCACTGTTTCACATAGCTATGCAGACTGGACCCACACGTGCTACATATGTGTTCTTGAGTTGGACTCTACCCTCAGGTGGGGACATGCCTAGCCCATTCCGAGTTCACCTGGTCATGCGGCTGAGAGCTCCGAGAGGCGTCACCCTAGACCAGGTGCTGAGCAGACTTGCTGGTGACAAGGGGACCAGAAACCAACCCTGGTCTGTGAAACGTCCATCTCAGGGAACTGAGGCAGGGCCTGGGATCCGGGCTGTCAGGGAGCAGTGGTGAACAGGGAGAAGGGTGCCCCCTCAGGTCACCACTGGGCCTTGCAGGAAGGCCTTGTTGGGGTCCCCAGGCTTCACCTCAGACCCACAGTGGCAACATCTGGGTCAGCCCTCTCCCTGAGATGGACCCTGGAGCTCAGGCAGGAGGAATGTGGGCAGCCCTGGACCCTCTGAACCCCTTGACCCTCCTACCCTCCCAGATACTGGCTGCCCGTCTCACCAGCCCCACCCAACCCTGCCCCCCAGAGATCCAGAGCTTCACTGGCACCGAGAAGGATGGTCGCATTGTCGGGGAGATTGCCTTCCAGCTGGACCGGCGCATCCTGGCCTACGTCTTCCCAGGGGTGACCCGGCTCTACGGCTTCACTGTGTCCAACATCCCTGAGAAGATCAAACAGGTACGCCTCCCTGGCTGGGGGCCTTCCCCTGGCCTGGTCCCGGACTTGCCCTAGGACCCTCCCAGCCCAGGGTCCCATCCTTGCCCGGGGTCCCTTGTTGCCCAGCTCCCCGCCCCCCCCTTCCCCCAAGGTCCCCTGGCCACCAGTCCGCTGTAGTGTCCACACAGCTGTAGGCCTGGGCAAGGCTGAGTGGTGTCTGAGTGGGGAATGGATGAGCTGCTGCCCCACGAGCCCCTTGGCTCCGTCCCGTCTTTAGTAGTCTGGGACAGCCTCAGGAGTGGCTCCGTCAGGGAGCACTGTGACGCTCCGCCCTTTTCTGGGCTCCGGGGATGGAGCTCTCTGCTCTCCTGGCGGTCCCTGCGCGCAGGAGGGAAACCGGGAGCTGGCCCCGGGTGGGGGCTTGCCTCTGGGCCTCAGTGTCCCCACCGACACAGCTGTGCTGGGAGGGCGCGGGGATCTCAGCCCGGGCCTCCGCCTGGCCTCCCGTCCTCCTCGCCGCGCCGGCCCCGCCGCCCACTCGCGCCTGTGCCCGCAGACCTCCATCAAGTCCCTGGACGGCTCGGTGGACGAGAAGAAGCTGCGGGAGCTCACGCACCGCTACCTGACGCTGACGGCGCGCCTGGAGAGGCTGGGCTACAACCGCGACGTGCACCCCGTGTTCAGCGAGTTCCTCATCAACACCTACGGCATTCTGAAGCAGCGGCCGGACCTGCGTGCCAACCCGCTGCACAGCAGCCCGGCCGCCCTGCGGAAGCTGGTCATCGACGTCGTGCCCCCCAAGTTTCTGGGCGACTCGCTGCTGCTGCTCAACTGCCTGTGCGAGCTCTCCAAGGAGGACAGCCGCCCGCTCTTCGCCTGGTGAACCCGCGCCCCGCGCCTCCCTGCAATAAACGCGTGTTGCAACCTCGGGCGCCACGCTCCTCGTCCGCTCCCCGGAGGGCGCGCCGAGGGCGCCAGGGCCGGGTGGGCCGCTGCCCGCGCTGTCCCGCCCCCCGGCCGGCGCGCACCCTGGTGCCCGCCCCGCCGCCCACACCTGCACGGTGAGCCCCAGTCTATTAAAGTCGTCTGTTTGCTGTTCCTCTTTACCGCTGCTCTTTGAGGGACGGCGGCGCCTCCCCGTGGGGGTCTCCCTGGAGGGCAGGGCCTGGGGCCAGGTTCAGCCGCGGACAGGGCAGCTGCAACGTGAAGACACAAGCCCTTGTTCAAAGCCAGGGACAGCAAGACAGCAGCGGAGCTTTAAAGCAGGTGCCCGCGTGCAGCTGGGCGGGCGTCCCTTCAGTGAGGCCGGTCCAGGTGTGGCTGTCTGCCTGGCAGAGGATTCCCGGCAGCCGGAGCCCCTGGAGGAGAGCCGGTGTCGGCGGGGCTCCTCCTGCGGGTTCTGGACTCGCGATCCCTGGTCCGTTTGGCTGCGGGGTGGTCACAGAAACCAGCATCGGGGCACTGACTGGTGAGATCGCTTTCCCTGTAAATAGTGGAGCTTCCCAGGGTCCCCTCCTCAGGAGATATTTTTAGCACCTGCCAGCATTTTTAATGTCTCAAAACTGCCCCCCAGAGCTGGTCTTGGCATCACACTGGGTCCCCTCTGTGCATCTTGCATTCCCAGATGTGGCCAAGCCCTGGGCCAGACCCATCTCCATAGGACACACAGCCCTCTGCCCCCCAATTTCCACACCACCCCCCATCTCTCCTGAGGCCTAGAGAGGGCAGGTGGCCCCCTAGGGCCCTGCGACCGACCCCTCCCCGGCTCCTCCTCTGCCGTAGGTAGGAGGATGAAGGTGCCAGGATGCCTGTCCCTTGTTCCCCACAGCCTGGCGTGTCCCAGATGCCCCGGCTCCTCAGACCCCTGTCTCAGTCGGCTTGGGCGCCGTAACAAACACTGCCGCCAGGGCGGCTTGAACAGTAGACATTTATCATCTCACAATTCTGGAGGCTGAAGTCCGAGATGGGGGTGCCACAGGGCTGGTTCCTCCGGGGCCTCCCTCTTTGGCATGCAGACAGCTGTCTCCGCCCAGTGTCCTCACGTGTCATCCTCTCCGCGCATCTCTGGTCTCATCTCCTTCTCATAAGGACACCAGTCCTACAGGATTAGGACCCGCCTTAGTGACCGCATTTTAACCTCATCAGCTCTGTAAAGACCCTGGCTCCAGGCTGTGCTGGGGTGAGGGCCAGGTGGTGCTGGGGCTTGCATTGGGACCATGTGCGACGGCCGGTCACCCACATGCACCCACAGTCACCCGGGGCTGCAGCTGCCCCGGACGCGCCCACCCCCAGCCTTCGGGGTCTCTGGGCTCCCCCAGCCACTTCTCCCTCTTCCAGTTCCTAGGAGCAGCTGCTAGAGGGGTGGGCTTCCAACAGCCCAGACAGCTGGGCGCCTGAAAGACGTGGGTATCTCCTCTTCTGGCCCTGTGGTGACTGTGAGAGGGGTGAAGTGGCCTTGGACCTGATCACCCCAAAGTGGGGCACCCAATGCCGGGAGAACCACGGATGGTGCGGGCTGCTCTTGGGAGGGGCTTGCGGGGGTCCATGTGCTGCCAGGGCATTGACCTGAGCGGGCCCTCTCAGCTTAGGGCGCTGTGCTGCTGACCTGGGCTACGTGGCCCCTTGTGGGGGTCCTCTGGCCTCGGTGGAGTGGTGAGCTGAGCCTCACCTGCCTGCCCCTCTCCAGTGCCATGGGCCTGCCAATACCCACCCTCCTGCCAGCCAGCTGTGCTGACCTCTGCTGAAAGCCAGGCCCAGGGCCTCACACACAGTCGCTCTTGTCCCTCTGTGGCCCTGAGGCTCAGCTGTTCCACGAAGAAACAGATCCCAGGAGGGTCACCCAGAGGGTCACCAGGGGGCCCTGGGCCCAACTGGGCCTGGAGCATGGGGTGGCCTGAGGCTGCAGCCTGCTAAGGACTTGTCCCTGGGAGTCCAGTACATCTTTCAGGGGAGCCCACACTCACCTGGGCAGAGGTCTCGGCCTCCCCTCCACCTCCTCCTCTGCTGGCCGCCTTGCAGGGTCCTGGCTCTGCCCCTCCCCCATCTGCCCAGTTAATAAGAAGCCTGGTGCAGGGAGGGACCTGCTGGGGGAATAAAGGCCCCGCCAGCCTCCTTCCCACCTCTGCTGGTGAAAGGAGCGTCTGGATCAGGGTCTGGACCATGTCCCGGCTGGTGGAATGTGTCCCCAACTTCTCAGAGGGGAACAACCAGGAGGTGAGGGCCTGGGGGCGGCCAGGGCAGTGCAGGGGGCTTGGGGCCAGGAGAGCATGGTTTGGGGTGGAGTCTGGGGACTGTCTTTTCTGGAAAGGGTGAGAAAGGAGGAGTGGGTGGACAACCAGTCAGGGGTACTGGTTCAGGTCTGGGCAGGTCGTTTGGCCTCTTGGGTGAAGATGGAGCCCTGGAAGGCTAACCCACACAGCTGTTTGAGGGTCCTTGTGTGGGGCACAGTCTCCCCTCCCCCACCTGTCCTTATCCCCAGGTGATCTGCAGGAAACTGAGTTACAGAGCACTGGGCAGGCCTTGCTACTGCCTCAGGAGCCTCTGGGTTGCCTGGGGGCCAGGGCCCCGACCCTCTGTGACCTTGGCCTGTAGTCACCTTCTCGGGGCCCTGGCAGCCCCTCCACCCAGTTCTGCTCCCTGCCTCAGTTTCTCCCCATGGGGCTGCCTGTCGCTGCTCCCTGATGCCCAGCGCCAGCTCCAGGCCCTGCGTCCGGGTGGGGGCAGGACAGACTGGGCCCCGGCAGCTCCCGCGCCCTCCTCCTTGTGGGGAGACGGAGGCGCAGGCCCGGCTTCATCCCCAGGTGATTGACGCCATCTCTCAAGCGGTGGCGCAGACCCCAGGCTGCGTGCTGCTGGACGTGGACGCCGGCCCCTCCACCAACCGCACCGTCTACACCTTCGTGGGGCGCCCTGAGGATGTGGTGGAGGGGGCCCTCAATGCCGCCCGCGCTGCCCATCGGCTTATTGACATGAGCCGGCACAGAGGTGAGGGCGGGGGAGGGCAGCCCAGCTCGCACTCAGGACTTGCAGAGGGCGAGGAGCCAACGGGCTCGCCGGATGCTCCTTGGACCCCGTTTACATTTCATGGGCCCAAGAGTGGCCGGCAGCAAGGTGCTTGCACTCTGCATGGGCCCTGGGTATGGGGGACAGAGCCCTATCTGTCAACAGCCCACAAACCAAACACATTCTTTGGGCGGCAGTGTCAAAGGCCAGTGGACACATGGGGAACTGTTCAAAAGGGCAAGGTCTCTGGCCTCTCAAGGCGGGGGGGATTTCACGAGTGATTCCAACTGGTGAAGGACAACCGAGGCTTATCTCAGAGAAGCTGCCTGGGGGAGGGATGATGTGGGACTGCCATCTGGGGGGCCGCCTGGGGGAGGGGACATAGGGCTGCCATCTGGGGTCCGCCTGGGGGGAGGGGACATAAGGCTGCCATCTGGGGGGCTACCTGGGGGAGGGGACGTGGGGCTGCCGTCCGGCCGTGGGCTGCTGGCCCACAGTGGGCTCGGCGTCTGAGAAGGACAACCTGTAGGGCAGTGGGGTGGAGGCGCCCCCTCCCTGAAAGCGCAGGTGGTCGCTGGGGGGGAGGGGTGTACCACCGATGGGCCGCGGCGTTCAGTGTCTGCCTCTCTGGGGCCCCGTGGTCAGTCCCCTTCTGCGTGTGTGCAGAAGGGGCCGGGGGGCGGGGCTCCGCACCGAAGCCCCCCCTTCCTCAGTCCCATCTCTGTGCAGGGGAGCACCCCCGGATGGGCGCCCTGGATGTGTGCCCCTTCATCCCGGTCAGGGGCGTCACCATGGACGAGTGCGTGCGCTGTGCCCAGGCCTTTGGCCAGCGGCTGGCAGAGGAGCTGGATGTGCCAGGTGAGCGCCCGGGGCGGGTGGCCCTGCCTCACCTCAGCTCAACAGCAGCAGCAGCAGGCACCCTGTGAAGGTCTCCACTCTAACATCCTTAGAAATGCAGATTTTAAGGGAAAAAACCCTACCAAGCAGGGTTTTGACAGGCAGGAATATATCCCCCTTCTCCTATGATGAGAACCTGTGAGGACAGGGTCCCAGCCATCAGGGAGCTGGCAGACTCTCAGCCTTGCTTGGCAGTGGGCTTGAGTAGCGGTTCTGTGAGGGGCTTGAGCAAGATGGACAGACAGAAAGCCCTTAACAACCTCTTTGGGGAATTAAACAAATCAAGGGGCAGCCTAGCACATGTAACAGGTGGATGCCTGAGATACCAGGCGGGGGTCCAGCTTCTGCCTGTGGGCCGATGCACCAACTTGGGGGTGGGTCTCCTGCCTCGGGCAGGTGTCGGGAGCTGGCGGTGAGCTTTGTTTTCTCTCCTCCTCATTCCGTGTTTTGTTCAGCAAAAATGCACTTTGGAGAGAAACACGAATATCCTTCCAGCCCCGCGTGCCTGCTCCCAACTCTTGTGGGCAGACGATGCCTTTTTCTGGGGCATCAGAGCCTGAGCAGTTGGAGTGGGGCCTGCCCTGCCCCTGGGTGGGCAGAGGAGGGGTCCTGCCCATACAGAGTGCCCATCAGCGACCACCCACACCCACCCGACGAGGCACAGAGATGGGGGCCGCCAGCAAGACGGAGCTGCAGGAACGGGGTCCTGCAATGCTGGCCACCGGGGGCCTGACTCGCCAGGTCCCTTTGCAGTGTACCTCTACGGCGAGGCAGCGCGGGCAACCAGCCGCCAGTCCCTGCCGGCCATCCGGGCTGGGGAGTATGAGGCGCTCCCTGAGAAGGTGCCGTGCCCCTCTGCAGGGGGCGGTCTGGGGTGGGCCCTCCTCCCCGCTTCCCACTTCCCTCACCCGCCCGTCTCCCCACAGCTCAAGCAGGCCGAGTGGGCACCCGACTTCGGGCCCAGCGCCTTCGTTCCCAGCTGGGGGGCCACCGCCACAGGGGCGCGGAAGTTCCTCCTCGCGTTCAACATTAACCTGCTCAGCACCAAGGAGCAGGCGCACCGCATTGCCCTCAATCTCCGTGAGCAGGGTCGTGGGAAGGACCAGGTGGGCTCCTGGCGCCTGCAGTCCCATGAGGTCTGGCCCGTCCCTGTTGAAAATCTCGAGGGCCTCCCAGAGAGGGTCAAGGCTGGACACCATGTGTGGACCCGCTGACCACAGGTCCTGCCCACCTCGGTGTCCACACCATGCAGGACTGGCAGGGCCAGGGTTCCAGGGTTTGAGGTTGGGGAGCAGGTCTTTAAGGACATTTTCCATGGACGCAGCAGGGCTACAGCTATAGTCAACATACTGCAGCATTTCCATGCTAATAGGAAAACAGCCGTTCCTGAGCCCCAGGTATCCCCAGGTACCCCAGGTCCCCTGATCCACCAAGTCTGCCATAGGAAGTCCCACCTAGTTTGAGCACCACCTCTGCAGAAACTTTGCACTGGACACAGGTAGACAAAGACACACCTGGTGAAGGAGGCCCTGCTCGTCACCTGTCAGCCTCCACCCCCGGAGACCTGGGCCCGGCTTCTATCCCGAACACTCAGCCGTCGGCAAGCACAGCATAGAAGCACAGCAGCTCCCCAGTCCTGCTCTGTGCTCTGCTGAGGTCAGAAGTCAGAGGCTCCCCCTGAGGGGGAGTGAGTGCCCCAAGGAGCAAGGGCTGTGCGCTGGCCTCTGGGGCAGGGGTGGGATGGGAGGAAGGAGCCAGCCCCCAGGACAAGGACGTGGGGGGAATGCTGGCCAGGTGGCAGGGCCTGCTCTGAGCCTGGACCCCGTGTGGGGTGAGCTGCCTTTGGGGGCTCTGCTTCCGGTGCTGGGCAGGCCCCTCCCAGGCTCAGATGAAAGACCGGGAGAGCAAGGCGAGGAGACCAGCTGCACTGCACAGTCTTCAGGCCACGGCCTGCCTTGTCAACGTGCCTGGGCAGAAGGGAGACCCTGGGCCAGCTGAGGGGATGCAGGGGAGGGCGCTGTCAGTGCGGGGTGCCAGGAGAGGCAGGGCCGGGCTGGGTAAACCTCGTTCTCTGCAGCCAGGACGCCTGAGCAAGGTGCAGGGCATCGGCTGGTACCTGGATGAGAAGAACCTGGCTCAGGTGTCCATGAACCTCCTGGACTTTGAGGTCACAGGGCTGCACACAGTCTATGAGGAGACCTGCAGAGAAGCCCAGGTGAGCGGGGCAGGTCCTCCCCATATTCCCAAGCCCAGCTGCCTGGGCACTGATGCCTTGATCTCTGACCTCCACCCTCCGCCCTCCGCAGGAACTGAGCCTTCCAGTGGTGGGCTCACAGCTGGTGGGCCTGGTGCCTCTGAAGGCCCTGCTGGACGTGGCTGGGGGGCTGGGGGGCTGGGGGTCCTTAGAGGGAGCAGGTCAGCTGCTCCAGGCACCTGCTCCCCAGGCCTGGGTTCCTGTCCATGTGGCCTCCTACTTCTCCTTCTTTGTTTTATTGTCTGTGCCTGCAAGTTGAGATCACATTTTTCACTTGGACACTGTTGGGGTTTTCTCTGTGACCTAAAATATATTCAGTCTTGTGAAACTTCAGTGAGAGGGGGTGCCTGGGCTCAGTCGAATGGAAGGACTTGCCCCTCCTCTGGTCCTGACTGGTCCAGATTTGGGGGTGTGAGACTAGCCTCTGCGGACTATTCACCACGTGGTTCCTATGGTCCTGGGTCCCTCGAGCTATCTCTGGCGGTAGCTGGCTTTTGCTATCCTGTTGCTCTGGCCTCAGGGTGGTTCTGTTTTGAAGGTATTTCTTAAAACGAGCACATGACTGGATTTCTCTGAGAGTTTTTGTCTTTTGGTTGTTGGGTCTATCCTTTTGTATTTACTAATCTAGCAGATATGCCTGGACTTGCTTTTGTCCTGTTTTTAGGCAGAGTGGATGTGGTTTCCTTCCGGTTATATGGAGGCAATAGAATGTGTGTATGCAACTCTCTGTGTCCAACTCTGCAACCCCATGGACTATAGCCCTCCAGGTTCCTTTGTCCATGGGCTTCTCCAGGCAAGAATACTGGTGCTGCGCTTAGTCGCTTGGTTGTATTTGACTCTTTGTGACCCCATGGACTATAGCCAGCCATGCTCCTCTGTCCTTGGGGATTCCCCAGGCAAGAATGCTGGAGTGGGTTGCCATGCCTTTCTCCAGGGGATCTTCCCAACCCAGGGATTGAACCCACATCTCCTGGGTCTTTTGCATTGCAGGTGGATTCTTTACTGCTGAGTCATCGGGGAAGCCCATAACTTAATCTATTTATCTCTATTTTTGATTTATTAAGTTAAAATCTATCTAAATGTATCAATGTGATTTTTCAATTTTTTTTTTTTTTGATTTGTCAATTTTTATCAGTGCAGGCACCACAAAGATATTTGGTTCCAAGCCACTGCAAATAAATCAAATATCCCAATAAAGCCACTCACACGATTTTCTGGTTTCCTGGTGTATATAAAAGTTATGTTCATACTAGACTATAGTCTGTTAAGTATGCGATATCATTTTGTCTAAAAAAAACTGTGCACATACTTAAAAGTACTTTATTGCTAAAAAAAAAAAAAAGCTAACCTTCATCTGAGCTTTCAGAGAGTTGTGATTTTAATGCTGGTGGAGGGTTTGAAATGTTGTGAGAATTACCAAAATGTGACACAGAGGCACAGAGTGAGCAAATGCTATTGGAAAAAGGGTGCCCATAGACTAGTTTGAAGCAGCGTTGTTACAAAATTTGTCAAAAACTCACTGTGAAGCTTGAGGTCTGCGCTCTGCAGACTGCTTGCTGTGCATATGAGAAAGTAACTCTCGATGTTTGCCCCCGTCTTTTCTCCCTTCTCTAGTTCCTGGTTTTTTAGAGCTGTGTCATTTTTTTTTTAGGGAGTTGGTTCTTTTAAATATTTTTTCAGCTTTTGAAATTATGGTAAAATACACATGACATAAAATTTCCCATCTTAGCCATATTTAAGCGTGCTGGTCAGTGGTGTTAAGGACGTTTGTGAAGTTGTACGGCCGTCACTGCCGTCCAGGATGGATTTTCCTGTTTCTCTGAAAGGTACTGTCAGAAAGGTATTGCTCATACTGCCCCCGCTGGTCACTGGTTGGAGCTCCATATCACTTCACCATCTTCCCACCCTGGACTTGGGCTGTGTCCCCGTCAGTGTCTGTAGCTCCTTTCAGCATGTTTTGTAGTTCTCATTGCAGTCTTTCACCTCCTTGGTGAGGTTAATTAATTCCTAAGTATTTCTTTTTTTTTTTTTTTGGATGCTACTGAAAATGGAATTGTTTTTGTAATTTGTTCTTCAGTGTTCATTCATCGTCAGTGTTCAGAAATGTACTGATCTTTGTGGGTTGACTGTGTCCTCCTCGCTGAATTCATTTGTTAGTTCTCAGTGGTTAACTTTCTAAGTCTGCATAGTATACTTACTCCTTTAGCTCTTAATCAGGGTTAGAATGTCTCTTGACTCTTGGTGAAGAAAGACAAGAAAATTAGTGCACTGTGTGAGCTGTCGTTGCTGGTCCAGATTTAAATTGCTTCGTTGTTATTTTTACATTGTCTGAAGTATACCATTTACCTTCTGTAAACATAGCCACATGAATTAAATATACATAGATATTTAAGTTTGGTTCTGGACTTAAGTAAGGTCACTGTGCACCTCTGTCCTTTTCCCTGTCTGTTGCCTAGATTTCACAGTCAAGCAGGTTTTTGAAGAAAGGCTCAAGGGTTTATTCTGTAGGTTCTATTATGTTTGGGAATGTCTTTGTGTGATTTCATTCTTTCAAAACAGTAGGACAACCAAAAAGCTTCCCTGGTGGCTCAGTGACACGTGACAATGCAGGAGGCACAGAGACGCGGGTTTGATCTCTGGGTCAGGAAGATGCCCTGAAAAAGGGAATGGCAACACACTCCAATATTCTTGCCTGGAAAATCTCATAGACAGAGGAGCCTGGTGTGTCCTGGAGGTCCACGGGGTTGCAAAGAGTCAGACACAACTTAGTAACTAAACAACAACAATAAAGGAGAACCAAAACCTCCAGTCGCTTGTTTTTCTCCTGAGAATGTTGCAGGCATATCTTTGCCACCTTTGGAATAAATGTCACTGTGTGTATGCAGGGGGAGTCTAAGGCTGTCTGGTGTCTTCCACATCCCTGCTGACCGGTTCTTTCTCCCTGATGCTTGAAGAACTGTCTTTATCCTTGAAATTCAGTAACTCTGCCATGTATATCTTGGTGTTGTTTATTCTTGGTGTTGATTATTCTGCATCAGTTTTTCTTTAGACCAGGGTTCTGTGTGATTTACAGATTCATTCTTGTTCAGTTTCAGGAATATTTTCTTTAATATTTCTGATTCAGTGTTTGGTTCTTTCACTTTGCAGACACAGTCACTCCATGGTAGCATTTTCTTCTTCCATATATTCTGTTTTTTTCTGCACTTTCTCTCCATTTTTCCCCCTCTGTATTTGCTGTGGTTTTCTCAGGCCTCACTTCTTAATCACTTATCTACTTCATAGCTGGGTTTGTTCTCTTTCTGGCCATTACAAAATTCTGTGTCACTTTTTATTTTGATGTAATTCTTGCTCACAGAAGAGGTGCACATATAGTATCAGCTTTATTCCCTCCAGATTCACCTATTGTTGTATTTTGCACCGTTTTCTGTATCTCTCTCTCTCTCTACATTCATGCACAGTCATATTTGTTTCTGGACCATTTCAGAGTAGATTGAAGACACTGTGCCCTTAATGCCTCATTTATTCAGAGTGCATTTGTCTAGATCAAGGACATTCTGTTACACAACCACAGTGCAATGATCAAAATCCGGAAATTCGGCACAGTACGATCTGCTCTAATCTGCAGACTGTAATCAAATCATGTCAGTGTCACCCTGTCCTGGCTCTGCCCCAGACCAGGAGTGGGTCCACCTGCCTTGTATTTTGTGGCCTTTAATCTGGACCAGGGCCCCAGTTCTCCCTGTCCTTCCTTGACCGTGATGGGCTGTGAGCAAGGCGCTGCTTGCTGGGTGCTGGTCTGACCTTTCTCAGGGCTGGGTATACTTGTGCATTTCTGGCAAGAGCAGCACAGAAGTGACCGGGTGTCCCCCTCAGGGCGTTACCTGGGTCCCCTTGTTGAATTGGTGTCCCCAACCCAGGATTATCAATGTGGTGTTCCTATTTTTCCTGTTGTTGTTAATAAGCACTCCCTGGGAAGACAGTTGAAGACATCTAAATACTTTGTGCCTCTTGAAATCCAGCCTCAAGAATCTCCTCCCTCCATCCTTTTTCCACTTTCACCTCTCCCACATCTATTTATCATTTATTAACATGTTTGATGCTCTCTATTGCTTCTTTAAACCATAGTATTTTATATTCTTTATCTGAAAGTTCTGAGATCTACAGTTTTTGAAGTTCTGGATTTCCAAACTATCATGCTTGCCGACACACGTAGTGATGCTTCTTCAGCATCACGGAAGTTCTGACTTCATCATCACTGGGAGTTCTGACTGCATGCCTGGGTTTCCTCTGTGGTGATTCTTGGTCATGCCTAGTTGCTCAGTCATGTCCAGCTCTGTGCGACCCCCTGGACTGTAGCCTGCCAGGCTTCTCTGTCCATGGAATTCTCCAGGCAAGAATATTGGAGTGGGTTGCCATTTCCTGCTCCAGGGGATCTTCCTGAATTCTTGGTCACTGGTTTAAACTTGTGTTGCCTCAGGCAGGTGCTTGGGCCCTGTAGGTGAGCCTCTTGTTTGGGGCTTGGAGCCACACAGAAGAGAATTCTGTGTGAACCGTGGCCTTAATCCCTCTCCGATTACAATTCCCAGGAAAGATATTTTCTGGGGCTTCACCATCTGGGGGCTTCACCACATGTAAGCCTCAGACTGGAAAGGACCTCAATTATTTCCTCTGAAGGGTGGCTCTCCCCAGATTCATCCTTGGAGATGTCATCTTCCAGGGGTCTCCCGTCTGACCCCTGCTCCTGAGAGGTGACTCAGGCATCTCCGGGTGGACCTAGCTCTAGGACAGGGAGAGATTTCTGGGCACTTCTGGGCACTCCTGACCGTGGATGGTTTCCTTTACTTCCTGCCAGGCTTGTGGGTGCTAAAGTCCGTTCTGACAGTTCTGTTCCTCTTTCTGAGGTTTTCTGCAGCGGGCGGGCTGCCCTCGGGCACCCTCTGCTACGTTCCCGCCTCGTTCCCGCGTCCTCCAGGAGACCTCAGGCCATCCCTGGCTCTCAACTTGTCCTGTACTTGTTGCTTTCTGTTCTGCGTGGAATGTGTCCCCGTGTGGCTCAGAGGGGCTGGGACTGTGTTGCCAGCATCAGCACCATGATGTGTCCTCAAAGCATCTTTAGGTGAAAGGAATTTCCCATCAGATATGGGGAATTCCTTTCACTGAAAGGATATTTCCAACTTTGTTTTGAAGTTGGGTAAACTTCACTGTCACACATCGAGGGTCATATCTGGGCTGCTCACGAAGCTCTGGGCCTTTGAGAGCCAGAGCCACTGACTCCCAGGAGCTGGAACCCCGTCCAGGAGGCAGTTGTCTCGGCCCCTTTCCAGCACAGGCTCGCATGTGGGGAGGACGGGTCACACTGGGCCTGGGTCTCCCCGGAGCAGCACAGTGGGTGGAGTTGGGGCCCGGCAGGGCGCCTGCCTTGAAGGGCTTCTGTCTGCAGGGATGCTGGTGGGTGTGAGGGGTGGTGTGTGTGTGGCAGCTGTGTCCCTGCAAGCTCCACACCAGGGCCGGGAGCACCCCCACAGGTGGCAGGGGTGGGACCTGGGCTCGAGGGGACCCCAGTCACCGGGCCCTCTTCCAGGTGGTGAACCGGCTGGGCCTGGACTCCCTGTCCCCCTTCAACCCCAAGGAGCGGATCATCGAGTGAGCAGCCCCTGATCCCCACCCCTCTGCAGAGACCCCCTCGGTCGTCCAGAGCTCTGCTCTGTCACTAAGTGTAGGGCTGGGGACTTGTTGGGGGACCCAATGAGGCTCCAACAGGTCCCACTGGTCCTCACACAGCTCCTGACTGGTCACAGCCCCTCTTGGGGCGGCTGCTCTGCAAACAGGGCCCATATCCCCTCCTCTGTGCTGGTGTGAGCCAGGGACCCCCCAGTCCCTCCTTCCTAGCCTAGAAGTAATGACCCAGGACCCTCTGACATAGACCCCAGCCCACCCCCACCCTGGCCCCCCTGACAGCCCCCGCCCGCAGGTACCTGGTCCCCCAGGATGGGCCCGAGCAAAGCCTGATGGACCAGCCCCTGCGCGCCTTCATCCGGGCCGTGGGCGCCCGCTCAGCAGCCCCAGGGGGCGGCTCTGTGGCCGCAGCCAGTGCAGCCATGGTGAGTGGGGTGAGCGGCGGGGCGGGAGGTGGGAGCCCAACCCGGGGCTGGTCCCCTGATCAGCACGCTGTCCCCAGGGTGCCGCCCTGGCCTCCATGGCTGGCCTGATGACCTATGGGCGGCGCCAGTATGAGCACCTGGATGTGACCATGCGACGCCTGATCCCACCCTTCCACACTGCTGTGGCTGAGCTGACTGCAATGGTGGACGCTGACGCCCGGGCCTTCGAGGCCTATCTGGTGCGTGTGCAGGCAGGCCACCGCCACTGGCCCTACGGAGCAGGACCTGAGGGACAGTGGGGTCAGTGGACAGTGATGCGGGGTCTCCAGAGGACAGAAAGGTGGGCAGGGTCATGGGGATGAGGGGGAGACTGCCACTAGCACAGACATCTGGAGACCAGGGGGCCTGCAGGGAGGGGACAGTGGTCTGGCTGCTCTTGGGTTGAGCCCAGCAGGTTTGGTGCAGGTGTGACCCCAGGTCGGAGTCTCTGCAGGGCTGGGGGTCGGGGGAGAGGAGGACACCTGCCCCGAGGGTCAGCCAGGCCCAGCGTCCCCCTGCCCAGCTCCCTGTGTCCTGCTGATGGGCCGACACCCAGACCCGCAGATGCTGGAGGAAGACCCGGTCCTCAGGGAAGAGCTCTGGTCCCGAAAGGATGGGAACAGAAATCTTTACATGGTAACACAGTCAGTCACAGTGTCAGCGATCAGAGAAGACAGTTCAGCGACAGACAGAAAGGGCCTCGGGAGCTGGGAGGCTAGATCCAGACTTCCCTTGTTCAGGAGGGCCCGGAGGAGGGGTGTCCGTCAGACCTGGGTGGAGAGCAGGGGACTCGCAGGAAGGCCGAGGTGTGAGTTCAAGGTCAAGAAGCCCCAGGTGTGTGTGAGAGCAGTCAGCAGGGGACACAGGAGAGGAAGGAAGGGGGGTGCTTGGACCCCGAGAGGGAGGAGGGCCTGCTGGGGCAGGTGTGAGCTCCCGGCCGACACCACAGCCCAGAGCCACCTTGGGGCAAGACCTAGTGTGAGGGTGGACAGTGCTCTGGGCATGCCTGGGGCGGAGGCTGTGGGCCAGCCCTGCTGGGGGGTTTGGGCCGAGTCTAGCCTGCACCTGGGCGCCTGGGTGGACAGCTGGCCTCCGTCGCTGGGCCTCAGTGGATGGCTGTGTGAGTGACTCAGGGGAGGCTTTCGCCCCTGGGTGAGTGCGTTTCCTGCATGAAGGATGCCGCTGGGTGGCCCCTGCAGAGCTTGTGCGGGTGGTGCCTGGAGTGGTCCTCCTGAGGTCCCCTGACAACGCGGCCATCCGACCTGGAGGTCACATGCATCTCTTGGTGCGTCTCACATGGGCGGGGCCGTGGGAGGAGCAGTTTCGTACTTCCTGGTAGGAGGCCTGGGTTGCGTGTCACCCTCGGGGATGGGGAGACACGGCCTGAACCTTTACGCTGGTCTCTGGGGTCGCACAGTTGCCTCCCCTGGAGTGGGAGGGGAAGACTGCTGCTGGAGCCCTCACTCCCCTCCGGCCCCCGCCCCAGTCCCTCAGAGGTGGCCCTTGATCTGTGATCCACGGAAGCAAACTTGGAGGTGGTGGGCGCTGTGTTAGGCCCCCGCCCTCCCCAGGCTCCCAGTCCCCTTGTCACAGTCCCTCACTTTCCTCTATTTCTGTGCTTGCTCTGGCAGAAAGCGACAAAGCTGCCTAAGAATACACCTGAGGACAAGGACAGGTGAGCGCAGCGAACATCCTTGGTTCTGGTCAGTCCCCCCAGGTGTGCTGCGGCTGAACAACGATTTCCCTGTGGTCCCCAGCCTGGTTCTGTGAGCTCCTTGAGGAGCCATCGGGTAGGGACTGGGGGTGTCTGGGTGCCCTGGGCTCTGACCGCCAATGCCCTTGCTTCCAGACGTGCGGCTGCCCTGCAGGAGGGGCTGAGGCAGGCGGTGGCTGTGCCCTTGGCGCTGGCGGAGACGGTGGCCTCGCTGTGGCCGGTGCTGCGAGAGCTGGCTCTGTGCGTGAACCTGGCCTGCAGGTCAGACCTGCAGGTACGTGGCAGGGCCCTGCTGCAGACGTGCATGCATACCCTGTCTGTCACTTCTGCACAGAGGCCTGGGGACAAGGGCCATCACACCCAGTGCTACTTGTCTACAGCCTGATCCGAGGCCCCCAGCCACATGGTCTTTACAGAGGGACACCTTTTTCCAGTGTCTGGTCTTCAGGCCCTAAGGACTGTACCTGCCTTTACTGGGAGGTGGCCAACCTGCGAGTTGTCAAGAAGGTTCTATAAGCCACCTGAGCACAGAGGCCATCGTTCCTGTATTCTGGGTCTTCCTGGCCCATTTCTGTGGCCCCTCGGGGCCTGTAAGCGGCCAACACGCTGTGCTCGTTGTTAAAGGGCCCCCTGCAGCTAGCTCCGGGCTTCCTAGGTGGCTCAGTGGTAAAGAATCTGCCTGCCAATGCAGGAGCCGCAGGTTCCATCCCTGGGTTGGGAAGAGCCCCTGGAGAAGGAAACGGCAACCCACTCCAGTATTCTTCCCTGGGATCATCCCACGGACAGAGGAGCCTGGCGGGCTACAGTCCACGGGGTCACAAAGAGTTGGACATGACTGAATGAGCAGGCACTAGCCTGTCTCCAGCCTGGGCTGTGCCTGAGGCAGCACTGGGTCACGGGGTCAGAGTGCTGAGGTCAACAGGGTGTGGACTGCTGAGTGCTCAGCTGAGGGTGGGCCTCTGAGCACTGGATGGAGCAGGGGCCTGGGACCCACCTTGGAGAGGGCCAGGCTTCTGTCCAGTGACTCCGGGCTCTCGAGGGCTGTGTGGATGCTTTCCTGCTCGAGTGACCAGTCAGATTGCTGTCTTCCCGGTTGAGGCGTGAGGCCCCCAGGCTATGTTCTGGGCTGAGGAGTGGGCAGGGGGAGGCCCCGCTGCCTGCCCCATCACGGCCGGCTGGTTCTGCCTCGTGGCCATTGCAGGTGGCAGCCAAGGCCCTGGAGACAGGTGTGTTTGGCGCATATTTCAACGTGCTCATCAACCTGAAGAATGTCACTGATGATGCGTTTAAGGACCAGGTGAGCAGGGGCACAGGCCGGGCCCACTGAGGGGCCTGGAAGTTGCCTTGGTTCCCGCATGTGGGGCACCTGGCTAGCATGTCTTTGAGGGAGGGATGTGTCTGTCTGACGAGACAGTCCTCCACCTGCTGCGGGTGGACGAGACCTGTCTTGCAGAACACAGGCCTCAAGGAAGGCTGGGGCCTTCTTTCAGGGTCTCCGTGGGGGTGGGTGGCCTGGGTGCCTGCTGGTACCCCATCACTCCCTCCTGGGCGCTTTGGCCAGGGCTGGGTCCCCTGGATGGGCTGGGCTGCAGTACCAGCAACACGTGGTCTCAGAGAGCAGTTGCTGGCCTGTGCAATTGTCCCGCTTCAACGTTTGTGACAATTTCACTGTCACTCTTTTTGGAGGAGAATTCACAGAACGTGCAACTCACCATGTTAAACTATACAAGTCAGAGGCAGTTGGCACATTTATGGTTGTGAGACCACCACCTCTATCGAGTGCTAGAACATTCTCACCACTCCAGAGGAGGCCCTGCAGTGTCACCCCCATTCCCAGCCCTGACCACCACCCTGTATTTGTGATTTTGTGATGATTGTTAAAAAGCGATTTCCTGATGGGAAATGGGAGCATTAGGGCCAGCTGATCCCTACCTGCCTCTCTAGCCAAGCTGAGCTTGTCATCAGGGAAGGCCCTGTCCACCCCAGGGGATCCAGATAACTCACTAGCCACTGGAGCGCTGCCCCTTTGGGCCTGGAGGACACAGCCCCGCCTTCAGCAGTGGTGGATAAAGTAGGGAGACTGGGAGGGTGGGGACTGGGCCTTGCTGGCCCCAAACATCAGGAAAGACAGAAAGACCCCCCCATCCCCACTGAGAGACCTGTGATGATCTGGTGTTCCCCAGGTCAGAGGCTCAGGGCCACCCAGAGTGGAAAGCCCAGGGAAGGGGCAGGGAGGCTGGGCCCGTGGGGTGGGTGGTAGGTGAGCAGTGATGACATCGCTCTGGTGTCTGTCAGGTCCGCCAGCGCATCTCCGGCCTCCTGCAAGATGCCCAGACGCAGGCAGCACTGGTGCTGGACCAGCTGGAGGCCCGGCAGGAGTGACAGCCGAGCGGGGATTCGACGGACTCCACTCCCCCTTGCAACCCCTCCAGACACGTCCCGGGGGGCCCAGATGGGGGGATATGGGGGGCAAGGAGAGGGGGCTGTGAGGAGTGGGCATGGCCGGGGTTGGCAGAGCCACCTTCTGTGACCTGGGGGCTCCAGTAAAGTGATGACACACGGGTGCCTGTGGGGTCCATGTGGGGTGCACATGGGATACCATTGAGGGGCTTGGGGGAGGTCTGAGCTGAGTGGCAGGAATGGGACCTCGTGAGGTGCCAAGCACGGGGAGACAACTGGGAGGGCATGGGGGTGAGGCATGAGGTGGCACAGGGTCACAGAGTACCTGGGGTCCTGGGGGTCGAAGCCCCCTTAGTAGGACCCTCAGATCTCATGGAGGGATGAGGGCCATGCTGCCTGATGGACTGGGGAATGGCGGGGGATCCACCAAGGTGAGGGGTGGCTGGGCCAGCTCCTCCCAGGGCAGGAGATGATGAGAGCAGCAAGCGGCCGGGGACATGAAAGTGATGTGTGGGCCAGGTCCCGTGTTCTGGGGGAAGAGAGTGCAGTGTCAGACCTGGGGTCCCAGAAGGGAGAGTCCCAGGTACTGGGCGCTGACTTCTCTTGGTGGATGCTCAGGGGCCCAGGCCCAGTGGTGGGGGTCCCAGGAGGGTCTCTGCAGGGCCTGGGTGGCGAGGGAGGGGTGGGAAGTGGTGGAAAGTGCAACCCTCGGCCCCTCCCCAAATCCCAGGGCTGGGGGCAACAGGACAAGACCCAGACCTGAAAGGTTGTGTCTGCGAGCTGTGTGTTACGCCGGGATTCGTGACCTCCGGAGGAGAGGATTTCTATTCAGGGTCAGAGATGAGGCTTGATGACTTGGAGCTTTTTGTGTAGCAGAGTATTTTTAAAGCATAATAGAGGTAGGGAAAGCTTTCTGACATAGACATCAGAAGGGGACAGGAAAAGAGTGCCCCCTTGCTAGTTTCTAGCAAGGTGTTGTATGTCTGTTAGAAAACCATAAATCAGATGAGAAAGACAACTCAAGGCTGAGGGACTTTCCCCAGGCCCCGCTCCCACATTAGATAGGACAGACAAGAAGTGTATTGTCAACCCCCAGCCATAAAACAATTGACAGGAATACTGATTTGTTTGTTGAGCCATTATCAGCCCAAGGTTTGAAAAAAGAAAACAAGTTAGTCTTAGGTGGAACCTTGTTGAAGAAAGGCAAATTGAAAGCAAATACATAGCTTCCTTAACATAGCTTAAGAAAAACATTTCCATAAGAAAAAGACACTGGTTAGCTCCAGGCAGGACATCAGCCACTTATTTCCTCCTGCCTCTTGCGGACCTCTGGCCTTCCTGCCTGTTACCCTCTCAGACCCACCTGGGCAAACTCTGGTCCATGAGCTGTGAGTCGATGAAGATGATGACGGCTCACTGAAGGGTGGGCCATGGGGTCCTGGGGGTGTTGGGAGCTGGAGGTGGAGGAGGGCAAGAGGTGTGACCTGGGGGCCCTGTGGGGGTACCCCAGGAAGGCAGCATTCATGAGGCTGGAGCTTCGGGTGGTGAGGGTCAGAGCTCTTGTAGGACTGGGTGCTGCCAGGGGTCTGCAGGCTGAGGTCTTTCAAAATAGGCAGTGCGTCAGGTCACCTGGTTCTAAACCCAGGGCTGCTTAGAGATTCCGCAGAGAAGCCCCGCCCCTCGTCCCCACCAGCCCCTTCCTATCCTTGTCAGGAAATCGCTGAATTCCCTCTTTGTGCCCATTTAGTGTTCATTTATGCAAACACAAACACATGTGAATTTATGGTCTTCATTCCTTGACACTACTTAAACAGAGCAGATCAATGCTGATTTTTGTTTCTAGTTAATGTGTTAGCCCCGAAGCCTCTCACATCAGTGTTTAGAGAGACTCCTATGATCAATTGCTCAGTCATGTCTGACTCTTTGCAACCCCATGGAATGTAGCCCACCAGGGAGAATCCTGTCCTCCGTCCATGGGATTCTCCAGGCAAGAAGGCTTGAGTGGGTTAGAGAGACTCCTACGTAATGTATATTTTATTCACTTGTCCTTTTCCTGTATTTCCGTTACCATTTCATTGTGAAATATGAGACACATTCAAAAAGGTGCGTGTCCTGAGTGGCCATCTCCCCACCACAGAATCCTCCTGACCCTGACCCCAACCCCCATGGCCCAGTTCCGTGGTGGCCACACCCCTGCCCATGATTCTCACGCAGAAGTCCAGTTTTCCCTGTGAGCTGATGTTCGGGTCAACAGGGTCATGTATGCCCTCTGCACCTGCTGCTCGTCCCAGCCCCGTGTGAGTCCTGCACCAGCCCACAGGGTGGGGGATCCCTGAGTCCTAGGGTGTTGCCCTGTTGAGCCACAGCACCCCAGTTCCCTCGCAGCCCTGTGGCAGTTTGGAGGAGCCCCGGTTCTCACTGCTGACAGCAGTGTGTGTCTTCAGCTCTCTGATGCTGGGATAGGGGAAGAGGAGGTGAGCATGGTAACAACCAGGTCAGAAGAGACTCTCACCTGTTGCCTGTCTTGGAACCATTTACCTCCACCTGAGAAGAGGGTTCCCTGAGCAGCCACAGCCATGGTCTAAGCATCCCCACCGACCCACAGCCCCAGGCATTAGCTGGCCTGAGGTAGCCCCTGGAGTCTCAGGCACAGATACCACGGGTGACTGTGGGTGATTCAGGAAGGAAATAAAGGCCAACTGTCCCACCACGAGGCATTGTGGCTGGTTGTTATGTAGCAGGAGCTGACAGATACACTTCCCAACACACCTCAAACTTCTGTTACATCTGAGGTTGACTGTCTCGTCATATTAATGATGGATTTCCTTCTCTGTGGTCTGTTCACATGTGTAGCCTGTTTTTCTGTTGGGTGCTAGTCTGTCCAGTCCTAAATATCCATCAACCTCCAGCTCCTTCCCCGGGGCGGGGTCTCCCCACCTCAGCCGCTCCTGCTATAGCAGCCTCTGACTTCCAGGACATTCCCATGAAAAGTAATTTCAAAACATCACCACACCCTGAAACTCTTTCCAGATGGGCTATGCACAAGGGAAAAACAAAAAGTATGCATGCACTTGTTAGGTAACCATGCAGAATATTGAGAGAAAATGATGTAGAGGGTCTGTCCTCCTGGAGCAAGGCGGAGAACCCAATACCTTATAGGGAAATTAAAAACTTGTTTTGGTAAAAGTCATGATAACCAGAGCAAATAGTAACTTATTTGAAGTTACTATTGACCAATAGAAAAGCTCCTACAAATCAAACCAGCAAGGGCAGTGTGTGAGCAGGCTGCACTGGGTGTGCTTGTCTGTGTGTGCAAGTGCATATGCGTGTTTGTGTGCAAATGCAAAGAAAGCTCTGGGAAGGTCCCCAAGGGGTGAACTCAGGAAAGAAGGTGAGCTGGGATGCAGTGTGGTGTGTGGGGACAGGAGAGGGGCCAGCGCTCAGCAGCCTCAGAGGCTCACCTGGGGCCTGCCTGCATGGGGCAGCACAGCGGGTGGGGAGGGGTCCTGCAGGCCGTCTGGGGTGGGACTGGGTTCCTTTCAAGGGACATTCAGAAGAACTGCAAGTGGGTTTTTAAAGCCACTCGGCAACAGCGCATCCGAGGGTCCTGTGCTCCCCGAGGCGGCGTGGCTCCTTCATCTGCTTCTGTTTGCTTCTCTGAGGCAGCTGTATCGATAGATGCTCACAATCGTTACTTTCGCTAGCCCTCCTGGAGACGTGGGCGCTTTCATCTGCTGGTGCACCGGCCTCTGCCCCTAACTCTGCCTCCCTCCCTTCCCCCTGCACTGGGTGATGTGCCCCACCCTGTACCCCCAGCCCACTGGTCCTGATTCTCTGCGCCTCTGTGGGTCACTCCTCAGCTGTCTTTGCCCTTTCCTCCCAGGTTGAGGGGCTGGGAGGTGAGGCGTGTGGGGTCTCTCCAGGTGGTGGGGGGTGTGAGGGTGAGGGCAGCTTAGAAACACAGAGCTCCCCCCCCTTTCACACCGCCTTGGCTCAGCTGGCCCCACTGCATGGTGGGTACCCAGCAGGGGCTCAAGCGGCACCTGAGCCTCAAGCCTTCGAGCTGTGGGACTGAGGGGACGGCAGTGTGGAGGCTGAGGGGGCTAGTGAGCAGAGGTGGACATGGGGACGTCACGAAGGCCTGCTGTGAGGAGGCATCAGTGAGAGGACAAAGGTGTAGACGCTGGTGAAGTTATGTTAGTGAGGGGATGTTCCTGAGGGGACTTTGGGGAAGAAAGTGGCTGAGGGACATTAGTAAGGGGAACTTAGTGATGAGATGTGGGGGCCTCTACTGAGGGGAAGTTGGGGAGGTGATCTTGGGAAGAGAGGTTAGTGAGAATGTTAGTGTGGGGTGTCCCTGAGGGCACATGGTGAAGTGTGTGAGGGCTGTTAGTGTGGGGATCTGCTGAGGATGCCTTAGTGAGGGATACTGGTGATGGGTGGTTTGTGAGGCATGAATGTGAGAGGGGGTTACTGAGGAGACATTAGTGGGAGGCGTTTTTGTTGGGATGTTAGTGAGAGGATGTTGATTTGCAGACTTTGGTGAAGGATGTGCCTGAGAGACAATGTGAGGAGGTGTTGGTGGGGAGGCTTGGCTGAGGGGGCATCAGTGTGTGGATGTGGGTGACGTGATAATGGTAGAGACAGAGCCGGATGTTAGTGTGGGGTCACTGGTGAGGAAATTGTTGAAGGAACGTCTATGACAGATGGAACTGGAAGTGTATTCAGTTCAGTTCAGTTCAGTTGCTCAGTTGTGACCGATTCTTTGTGACCCTATGGACTGCAGCACGCCAAGCTTCCCTGTCCATCACTAACTCACAGAGCTTGCTCAAACTCATGTTCATTGAGTTGGTGATGCCATCCAACCATCTCATCCTCTGTCCTCCCCTTCTCCTCCTGCCTTCAGTCTTTGCCAGCATCAGGGTCTTTTCTAATGAGTCAATTCTTGCATCAGGTGGCCAAAGTATTGGAGCTTCAGCTTCAGTATCAGTCCTTCCAATGTATATTCAGGACTAATTTCCTTTAGCATTGACTGGTTTGATCTCCTTGCAGTCCAAGGGACTCTCAAGAGTCTTCTCCAACATTGCAGTTCAAAAGCATCAATTCTTTGGCACTCAGATTTCTTTATGGTCCAACTCTCACATTCATACATAACTACTGGAAAAACCGTAGCTTTGACTAGATAGACCTTTGTCAGCAAAGTGATGTCTCCGCTTTTTAATATGCTGTCTAGGTTGGTTATAGCTTTTCTTCCAAGGAGCAAGCATCTTTTAATTTCATGACTGCAGTCA